GACGGAATATTTACTATTAATAATAGGTGAATCATAGATAATATTATAATTCTGTTTCATCGAGTTTAGTACGTGATGTCGACCTCTTTTTTCGTCTCGGTATCGCGCAACGATAGCTGATTCCGTTTCTCATTTTCCTTCCTCCACGCTTAAAAGCATAAACAATTCTCGCTTGGTAATAACAAACATTATCATTTCATTCGTGACATGTGTAATCGCGCGGACGGCGTGAAATTTTCCATTCCTCTTTCACGCCGTTCCTGCGATAAATAGCGGCTCGCCGTGATTCTGTAAAGTTGTCAACCGTTCTAGACAATCGCGTACATAACACGCACCAACCTAATGGTAGCAATCGGCAATTTAATTAAGTCTCTTGATTATTTGCATTCGATATTATTTATGTACATCTACGTAGATCAGATTAGATGAATCGTATCTTACTTTTATAAAGTATTCGTGCTTATAAGAATGTGTAAATAAAGAAAAATACTATCCAGTCTATTAATCGAGAATTGCAACTGTGAACATTCCTGCTTGGTTGCACAAAGTTGCATAGTCATCTGTAGTGCGGACTGTTCGCGAAGAGGTACCCGGCGAAATCGCTGGTTATTAGAATACCGGGCACAGAGAAGAAGGTGATTCGAGGAAAGGCACCCTTTAATGGTTACAGCCCTTTTGCACGGTTAAATAAATAACTGCGTGGCCACATCCTTACTATGTAATTACGCGCGCATGTATCTATATAAATGTATAGTTATATGCGCGCGTAATACCGTGTGAGTGTATGTGCTGCACAGTGCATAGCTGGCGTGCATTCTGAAAGTAATTGGTACAGAAAAGAAATAGGGAGGAGGAGCGGATGCGAAGTTTCTGGTATGTTTCTAAATTATACCCTCGAAAAGAGTAAGAATCGTGGATAAAGAAGATCGGCTTTGATCAGCAGATATCAGCGTTCCCTACTTTTTAACACTATGTTCCTCAAACGTATACGCGCTTTTTTGTTCTATCAACGTAATTTGCCAAATAATGATTTTTAACATAATTGATTTCTTCACGTGTTATTTTTTATATACAATTTTTGTTTAGATATTTATAAATCTTTGTTTCGTTTAATTTTTTTCAATATGTCTTTTATGCTAAGCGTATTTCCAATTTTTTTTATTCTGTTCAGAGGAGAATCTTCCCCATATGTCGTTTCTTTGCTTGTGAACGAAGAATGAATGATGTACACAAGTATATGTATACTGAAAAAGAATGTCGCGGAAAGAAGTCGCTAGTTGATTGCGAAGGACTGAACATACCTGGCAGACGTTCTGTGCCATGTTCTGGCCAACGTGCACATAATCTCTCTAAGAAAGACCAATAATTAAGGTAATGGCTACTTTTCAAGTGGATTTCCGTGTGGCTCGATGTGCGCAGCCAGCTAGCCGAGCAACCTCTCCGCCGATTATGGTCACGAACAACCACCATGTTTTGCTCCATTCCCCTTTCTTCTTTCTCCTTTTCCTCCCTTTTTTCCGAACCCTCATTTTTTAGTTCGCTCACCTTCTCTAGACCATTTTATATTGTATATACTTGCACGTTATTGATATTTGTTTTTATATCCTAAAAATGAAATGTTATAACAATTTTATTTGTAGATTTTTTTAACTTTCTCTGAACACTGATTAAACAATGAATTATTAATGTAATTAGATATTCAATTCCAATGAAGGATTAAATGGATTGTGAAACTGTTTAAAGTAGTGCACAGGACAGCATGTTGGAGAATTTTCAATTTCGATGTATGCACGTATATGTAGAATACATTGCAATGGAGATGCCAATTTCAGAGCCCGAACAGGAGAGAGAACGAATTGGGGAGGGGTGAGGGTGTACCGAGAGAGAGAGAGAGAGAGAGAGAGGAAGAAAGAGAAAGAGGATTGAATCGAAGCAAACATGTTATTACATTTTCTTATTCGTATTGGTCGTAGCGTCGACGTCGGCTACTCTATATCTGATTGGTACCACCCGCTTCGATTGGTCCCAACTGGATTTTAACCCTTCCCACTACCAGAGTGTAGATTACACTGATCAGCCAATCGGCATTTTAACCGATAATGAAGTCCATAATTAGCGTGATTTGTTAATGAACCCAACCGAACTGCGACCAACGACGATTGAATGAAACATCGTCGCCGATGCTTAGTCGTAGTCGTGTGCTTGATTTCGGATCGATGTTCTTTTCGACGACTTTCTTTCCAATTGAATCGATTTCTCTGTCAATTAAACGCAAGCTCTGACGAATTCGAGCAGATACGATATCATCATAGAATTAGTGATTTTCCCTTAACATCGCGTGTCTGTGCTTTTTTTTTATCAAATTCCACGAAGTATCTTAACATATTTCCTACTCATTTCGTCTACGAAGTATGGAAATACGAACTTGAATTTTCCAATTCTATTATTCTATTCTGTAGATCGATTCGAAACGAGGTATATGATTTTAATTTGTCTTCATAACATATTACGTTGCATGTTCATTTTCGACCATAATTCTTTTGTGTATGGAGAAAAGCCTCGTCTATTTGGAAAGTTTCAATCAATCCGTCGTAGTGTAATTCGCAGGTAGGTTTCATGAAAAAAGAAATAAAGAAACCCAAATACTATACGTCTTATCGTTACGAAAGGATTAGTCGTATTCCATTAAATGAACTAATTGGTTAATTGTTAAGTCTTTTGTGAGGAAGTTCACCCCAGTTTCATTTTTCGGCTTATTAGTAATCTCGTTAAACAAATAAGGGGTTAAACGCAGAGTGTCATTCGAGGCAAATGACCTTAACCTTTGGAGCACGTTACAAGGAGATGCTGAATAGCTGGTTGACTGGGTAGCATGATTGTCCCGAGGTTTTATCGTTAACACGATTAACGCAAGCGGCAGAGCCCGAGTGCCAACAATGCCTGCCGATGATCTTCGATCTCTCGATCTTATAACGAGCTTTGTCATAACGCCTATTAGATGCCGGTCAGATAAATAGAAGGATAGTATCAGAGAGGTGCAATGACAACAACCAAAATTATTATTAAATGATAATTATTTTGCCTTAAGTCCTACAATGATTCATACTTTAGTTCTTACAATTAAAGTATTAATTGCGTGCATACTTTACAAAACTGACACACAATCAGTGTGTAGTTTTTATTAATTTTATTAATTTATATTGTTGCCAAGAACTTCAGTTTCATGATACTGTAAATATATAACTTACATCGCCAGTTATTATGACAACTTAGTACAAATCATTTATGCTGAAACTATTATGCAAAAAATCATGGATTGCTTTTTTATTTTAAATATTTTCTTAGTTTCAATTCTAAGATCGAATCTATAATTTTATTATTACAGTTGAAACGAATTGCAAGGCGTTTTTGTTCGTTTGTTCAATAGACAGGATGGTTCTGGTAGTAAACGGGGTCCTGCAGGAGGACATCCCAGCGGACAGCAGATCGTTGTACGCGGCCCATCCTGTATATCGTGAAACCGCGGCACAACTTCATTCGATGCCTGCGAAATTGGTGGGTCCGATGGGCCTCCTTTATGTTCGCCAACGGGAAATGGCTGCAACTTTACCACATGATAGTAAGAGTTAAACATACATCGATCTGTTTGCTTCGAAATACTAACTTGGTGCATATGAAATGATTTTATCAAACACGATAGATAGAATTTCTCTTGCGTTTATTATAAATGTTGTTGATACAAGCCGGATTGTTTCAGGTTGAATTATAATAGCGGCCAAAAGTATGATCGATGACTTTCGACACGAAAATTCAAACTCCAGAAACAAAATGATATTTCATATGCACTAACTTAATGATATTGACTCAGATTAGTCAACTTGCTTAAAAAACAAGTTGGAATTAATGTATCTTACATGAATATACAATGTCTTTTCTATATTTAATCTGAACGAATCTCTGTTTGCTTTTCGCAGAAAATGTAAGCATAATCGGCTCGGATGATATGACTACCTGCATAATTGTCGTTGTGAGGCATTCCGGTAAGCCGTAGGATAAGGATTCGCGTTAGTGGTTAGTTTGTGTCATGATTACTTACATGTCTATTTATTTACACAATAGAAATGTTTGTTTGGCATAAAAATAATATAGCTCAAATAATTAGATATATGATCTCAACTGCATTGAAAGCATTTTGATGCTCGACGTCTAGGTTCGGGTGCTGCGGCATTGGCGCATCTCGATGGAGCTGGAACAGAAGATGCGGCGGCAGCAATGATCCAAAGGGTAACCGAACTCGCCCTTGGTTTCCCGGAGGGTCGCTTAGAATTGCAGCTCGTTGGCGGCTATTCTGATCCAAGAAATTATTCCGAAGAACTCTTCTATAATATTCTTTGTACGTTCTTTTTATTTTTCTGCCTATACTGAAAGGTCTATTATACATATTTTAAATATAATATTGTTCATTCTTATTTTAGCGGCGTTTCACAAGCAACCGGTGGAGATAGATCTAACTTTGTGTTGTGTAGGCGAGTTGAATACTACCGTGAGAGGTGGCATTCATTGGCCGGTGATATATGGTATCGGTTTAAATGTGAAGACGGGCGAAATTTTCCCAGCAACCTTCCCTGACAAGGGGCCGGACCAGGCGTTAAGATGCGCAAGACATTTAACGGGAGGCCAACAGGTGCATACGCGATCGTAGAGATTCTCGCGATCTATTGGTATAGAGTATTCCAAACTCTGATTAGCCAATTATATTTTAAATAATAATATTTTTTTTATAGGTTCTAGACGTCTACGACTGTACGCTTGGACTACTTAGAATCGGGCCGTTCAACTATGATCCTCTCAGAGGAGTCGATCTTTGGTTAGCTCAGTCGGATCAGTTTATCTTACAACATCTTTCAACTTCGCCGGAAGTGGAACTTCCACACTTTGTGTCACAGGTAACCTGCGATAATGAAATCATTTAATGATTTAGCGGCTATAGAAGTAAATGATAAATTAATTAAACTAAGTATGTGATATGGGAGCCGCGGTGGCTCTCGTGGCTGCGTGCTGGCCTCGTGTCCCTGCTCGCAGCCTTGCAGGCCGATATCTCTGGAAGGCAATATATGATATTTTACAAGCACTATATCTGCTGAGTTTGAAGAAAAACTTAAAAGTAAAAAATTCTTCTCTTGGTTAAAGGTCATAAATTATGTTTCAGGTTCGGGCAACGCTCAAGTATATACAAGACAATCAATTCCCGGCTGTTACCGTATTTCGGGATAATAGACCTCATTACTATCGTCGAGATGAAACGACCGGCGTGTGGCAACCTATACGATATTAATATTGACACATGCTTTGATACGAAATGAAACTAATGCCAGCATGTCGCGAAACGTTTTTGACAACAATGAATATTTAAAAATAGAATGACGAATCAGGCAGAAATCATCGATTAATAAAATGAACGTATCATTTTCATTGATTTATGTCTTACATTTTATCTTATTTAATGCTTGGTTCGTGAAATATTTTCTTTGGTGCTTACTACTATATTCTCGAAGCCAGGGATATCGTTCAATGCCGTTATATTGATACGCTTGACTCTGCCCACGCATTGTAGCACAAGTTTTTATTGAGTTGTAATTTTATCTCAATTTTCAATTATTAATACATTTAATGATACACTATGATAAATTCGACGGTATTCGCAATTTAAGAAAGGTCACAATGAATGAAGATGGTGATTAAATCGATTTTTGTTAGGATGTCGAACGATTGCTATTAGGAGGAAGAGCAAGAGAAGTTTCGTACTTCCCTATGGTTGTTGACTTTTAATTTCTATCTTTTTTTCTAAGAAATTTTTATATTACTTATAAGATGTAAACTTTGATTTTAATTACGTACGTTAATTAATGTTTCGGATAAATTTGTTTTGAAATTTCTTCGGATTTTTATTAAAATTTAATTTAGCGATAGTATTTTATCCTTGATTCGGAAAGAAAAATGTGCTATTGAATTTCGATGATTCCGAAACGATTTCCTTATAATTATGGCTTGTATGTGATCTATCTATATGAGGCTATGTAATTTTTCCGTCAATATAACGAAAACAAGATTGAACATTCCGTACTTGCCATAAATGAAAACGAAACTAGAGAAATCGGTTGTAAATAATAATATCGAGATTACACATGAGTTTTGCACAAAACAGGAAGCTTTGTTAGAAAAAATAAACTAAAGCAAACAAAAAAAATCAATAAAACAGATGAAATACAAAAAAATGTGGAAAATGGAGAAAGGAAGAAAAAAATGTTACGATCAGTTATTTTCGACTGTGTCTGAG